AAATGCACAGAGCAAGTGTACATTTCCATCTGAAATCAACCCAAGTGTTACTGGCAATGTATTTTCTCGGAGAGAGGGGGAGAGGGGGGATCTGGCGTTTGGACCCAATCCCCGCCTCCCCAGCCCAGCCCTGCAAATGCACAGAGCAAGTGTACATTTCCATCTGAAATCAACCCAAGTGTTACTGGCAATGTATTTTCTCGGAGAGAGGGGGAGAGGGGGGATCTGGCGTTTGGACCCAATAAAATGCTCTGCTCCAGTGTAAATATTTACAGGGCATTAGTGACTTTTTAAAAAACATTTTCAGTGAGGTCTGTTATTTACAATGTGTCATAAGTTATTAATGTTCATTGCCCAAGTACCCTGCTAAATCTGTCTCGTGCCTTAGAACAAAGTCGACAATTGGCATATTGTTTCAAGTATGAAAAAAATGCGAGTGGGTTTAAAAATTGGAAAATATCTGTATTTTCAGAAGTGTAAATATTGCTTTGGAGCTGTCAAACTGCAGCCCTTGGGGAGGAGACAAAGAAGTATATTTTGGTTAATTTCTCAGTGAAACGGAGTTGTCACCGATTCAAGTGTTCTCCGGAACTTGGGGAATGGCGAGAGAGAGTCCCCGCCTGTTGTATTAACGCTGCCTCTTTTCTCCTCCTTCCCCAAAAAAGCTCCCCACCATGTCCAGTGATAGGCAGAGGTCAGACGATGAAAGTCCGAGTACCAGCAGCGGTAGTTCAGATGCCGATCAGAGGGATCCACCTGCACCCGAACCCGAAGAGCAGGAAGAACGAAAACCCTCTGCCACCCAGCAGAAGAAGAACACCAAACTATCCAGCAAAACTACTGCTAAGCTATCTACTAGTGCTAAAAGGTAAAAGGGGACAGTAATTTGCACGGTATTTTGAGCGGCAGTGCTTGCGTTCAAGTGCTTCCAAGGCGGAGGGGTTCTTCCTGTAAAGCTACGTGGAAAAGAGTGCAGTACCAACTTCTGTAGCACAGGCGCCCGCCAGGCAGTATCTTCATTAATCCAGGTCGTCTCATTGGGGTAATAATTACACAGACTTGTCATACGTCTTTCGAAGAGTTGTCTGAGAGCTTGGTAACTTACAGGCTGGCTGGGGGGGGCACCTGGATATGTTTCGCAGCTGCAGAAAATGTGGGAGAGCGCGCCAGCTTCGGCTGTCTCTTTCAGAGTTAGGTTTCCATGCCTGATCGGCGTGGGGTGGAGTCCTCCTGGTATATTTTATTATGGTCTGTAGACTGACGACAAGCAATGCTCTTTAATTAAAGAAGTCACAAAAGCCCGGTGGCTTCTGTGGGCCTTATGAGTAGCTTTTCATGTCAATGCATGGGAGAGCCTTCCACACCTTGAAGTAATGGGTTCATTCTGCAGTTCTTTCAGGAGAAACTTAGGCAAGTTCTCTCCCTTAGGATCTGCAGATTCAAACCATGGGGTTCCACGGGTAGCCTCTGCCTTTAAATATCAAAATCTTCAGAAACCTTCTTTAGTTATATCTGTTGCATTTGTATTTGCATCTAAGTTTACTGTTGGTCCAGCTCTCGAGGCATGCGCTCTGATAATTCTCTGTAAGTTCAGCTGTGTGAAATAAGGAAACTTTAAATCCCTTGGTTCCAGTGGTCTTCGGAGGCGAAGCATAACTTGCCAGTCCTTTCCCTGGAGTTGCTTTTCTTTACAAACATTTACAAATCTCCTGTAGCAAGAAAAGCTGTAGGGTAGCCGTGGTAGCTTCAAGTTTTGCTTATTCAGCATGAATACTGTAGTTCGAACTTATAGGAACAATTTACTAATTTTGTATTGGGCTTAAGTTCAGGAAATACTTTTTGAAATGTGTTAAAAATGCTGCAGAGTATGACTGGGTGGCTTCAATGACTTTTGAGCTTGTTAAAGAAACCCTTTGAAATAGGACTGGTTGAAGAAAGAAAAGTTCGGGAACTACATGTAGGCTTTGTAATTTGCTCTTGCTTATCTTTTTTGAAAAGCCTGAGAGGCTTTCGAAACGGAGTTTTCCCCTCTTGCCTTTATTTCACTTGATCGTTGCAAGTCTAATTCCGCACATCTCACTGGTACTAGTGCAAGGGCGTGCAGCGCAGTTTCTGTTCGCTCGTATTTTAACACTTGCTATTCACGTGAAATTCACGGTCTTGCTCGCGTGGGTCCTCTTCTGAAGAGAAGTCTTATTTGATATTTTTAAGAGGAATTTACCGTGCGTCTTTTGAAATGACACCTCTCACGTACCTGAATAAACGATTAAATTGACAAAAAGTTTTTGGTATTCCTCTTCCGGTTCTTAACGCCTTGGGAATGGTTGTAATACAGTAAAGCTAAGCACAGATTATTTTGAGTTATTATATCACTTTTTATCATGTAAATACAGCTACTGTATAAGGCTGGGGGAGGCAAGGCAGCAGAAGGTGTGGAGAGAAGCAAAGTTGATCCAGAGAGATTATTCCAGTAAGAGAGACAGCCTGGCGGATCTGCAGAGCCACTTTTTAAACACACTGCAAAGTAGTAGGTAAAATATTGTGAAAAGAGCGTGCCTGCTGCCAGCGCGGTTCACTTCTTCAGCCTCAGTCACAGGTCTGTAGTGCCGGTTTAAAGTCATTGTCAAATCTGCCTGTGCAGGCCCCCCCTCCCCCCCCGCCTCATTTGCATATTAGCTTGAAAAGAAAATCTCTCTGGTAAAAAGTGCTCGGATGTGAAAAAGAGTTACTTTTCTGAATACTCGTGGGAAATTTCTACCCAACTGAGTTGTAAGCGTTCTGTTTACGTACAGCGTGGAGCAGGAAAAAAGCTGCAAAGTTTCTCAGCTGTGGGATTTGGGTTATGCCTCTGAGAACAAAGAGGAAGCAGCCATGTTAGCATTACTGAAGGCAAAGCCAATCTTGCATTTAACTGCATGGTGGTAGAGGGCAGTGTAATTCCCTGATTTATTCTATAGACTATCTCAAATGCTTTGTGTCTGTTCTCATTTCACCAACAGAATCCAGAAGGAGCTAGCTGAAATAACCCTTGATCCTCCTCCTAACTGCAGGTATGTAACGGCTTCTTAAATTGTGGACGGTGGTAGGAGATTAATGTGCTCAGGCTAACAAATGGGAAACTTGGTGTTTACGACCGGTGACTGCTAGACAAAAATTGCGCACAGCAGATTGAACAAGCACAGGGAGAGTTTGATATTGAAGTTTGCTATTTTGTCTGCATGTTGGAGGCGTAGTCATTAGTGATTGATGTATGTAGTGAAGCGTATTCAGTTTGTTTTTTGTAGCTGGTCACTGCCTTCGTGAAACATTAATTATGTGAACTTCAAAATACACTGAACCTTTCAACTTAATGTCTGCACGTAGTTTGAACTGGCTTTTTGAGTGCCAGGTTTATAGAGTTATCACTTCATTCTGAAGTAAAGGTAAAGAACCATATGTGATTTTTATATGCTTTCTCTTAGGATGTTGCTTAGCAGTTAGATAAGCTGAAGTATTGCCTTTAAATTTACGTCTCTGTTGGTCAAAGTTGTAGTCTCTCAATAGAGATTATTTTTAAGGAAGTTCCCAGCTTGGGAGACACTTCTGTTAGCTTTTAGAAGATGAAATTGTAAGCTTGGAAGATCGAGTGATTTAGTCTTGGATAAAGTGACAGTAACTGGAGCACTTGATCTGCAGAAAAGTTAAGTAGTAGCATACTAGCTAATTTCTTTAAATCTTTTCCATGTTTTACTTTTGTTTAAAGGATGCATAAAAATTCTCATTAGCTGTGAGCATCCAGTGTTCAGATTTGCAGTAAAGCTACACTTAAATAATGTTGCTGTCATTTGATGCGTCTCAGTAAGATTTCCGACTGCAAGGTGTCTTCAGATTAATAGCTCATGCGTAGCAGCAAGCCTTGGACACGTTTGGAAAAATGCTGGAAGTGCTTTCTGATTTTATGATGGAATTGTTTGGCTTTTTGAATAGTTGGAAAGGTTCGGTGCCGGTCTTGCGAATTCAGGGAAATGTGAGTTGTTCTCCTGTCTGACTAGTCTGTGAGAGCAGGGACTAACCAGAGCTGCCTTTTATTGAATCTGTGGTAAAGGTGTCTTACCCCGAGGACTGTGCTGTAGATCGCCTATGGCACTCTGGTGTGTTTGCATGCAGGGTCAGTGGCTCTCCCTCTTCAGTAGAGGCAAGCTCTGTCGAGAGAGCAAATGTCTGTTGGGAATGGGGTTTTTTTTGGGGTGGTGGTGGTTCAATTTTGTTTTTAAATAACTGTTTTAAATGACTTTTAATAAATTACTGGAATCTAGTTCTGCGTCGGTCATGCACTTTATGCTTGAACCCTGAAAGGGGGCATGGTAGGAAAGAAAGTATTTAAATGAAATAGAACACCAACACTTTGCTTTATAGTTGCTAAAAAGATAATTGTAGCAGTTTTGGGTACAGCAAGTTACAGCTTGGCTTTTTAGAAAGAGAAGCCTCCCCCCTCACACTCTCCAGTACCAGCTGATATTTAGCTCCTTGGGAACGCACGTTCCTGTCTTATTAGCACGAGTATTACAGAGAGTTTTTCTTGTGAGCTGGTACTACCAGATGCCCAGGAATGCTGTTGAGAATGATGCCCCCCACCGCCCCGTGTCTAAAATTGTTCAAGTTTCTCCTACAGAGCACAGGGGAAAAGATTATTTTTTTGCCAGTGGGAAAGTTAGTGCTTCTGTTCCCATAAGTATTTTTTAAGAGGAATTCATCCCTTTTACTCAATAGCAACTGTATGATTAGTGCATTTTTACCTTTTGCGAAATTAAAAATATTTACAAGAGATACTGGCTTCTGTATCAGAAATTCTGGGTTGTCAGGATAAACAGTTTGAACAGAGTTTCAGTGCCCAAAGGATTACCATTATATTGGAATTGACTTGTTAGAAGGAGCCTTTCTGGTATCAGGAGGTAAATGCAGCTGCATGTTATGTGCAGAGCAATTGACGCTTGTAACACGCTTTCTTGTAGGGTGTAGTAGCACAGATTAGGCAACAGACTGGCACAGCAGGCATATGATGCCTCTCCATTGCTCGGCATGCAACACAAGCTACTTATCACATTTCTTGTAAAAGATAAAGACTTTGTAAAAAAAAATCTTTTAAAAGCCTGTATAACTCGGGCATAGTCACATGTGCTTTAAAAATTAAAAAAAACTTGTATCATAAGTTCCCCCAAAGAGATTTCTTCATGCAGAGTTCTTTCTCCTCCAGTTCTAGAGCACGCCCTTACCATTTGCAGTCCACGTGTTGCTGGCTTCACAAGAATACAGCTGCCAGCTGATACTTTGGGACGTTGATGGTCCTTCTGGTCACTCAGTTACAGAAGTGATAAAAAATTAGTGGTTTTTTAAATATGGTAATGGCACATATAAAACATTAAATGTTACTTTAACAGGATGCAGTACAAATACTGGTGAGCATGCTGAACTCTCCCATATCGTGTTAAACACTGATGGCTACTGCCACTTCTCACCTGCCGGTGTAACTGCACGTGGAGTCGCTCCATCGGAGTGATCTGAGGCTGATTTAGCTGCTTTAAAATGACGCCGACTGGTTGCACTGTTATTCTCATGCAAAAGAGGTGTAGGTTTCCTCAGCAGTTAAATTTCCCACAGTCACAACTATTGCTATAACATCTGTTTTATAAAAATGCCAGAGCCCCAAGAGAGAGCCCCGCTCCTGGGTGTGCTGAGCAGGCCCGGGCTGCACATTAACTTCTATTTTAGGCACTGGGATAGCAGAATGACAGGCACAGTAAAAATGTCTAAATAGCAGGTTTTTGCTTGCTTGTCTCAACAGTAGAGATTGATTTCTGATTCTGTTAATTGGACAATGAACCATTAGAAAAATCGTGTTGTAGTGCATCACATTGTCATGCTTGGGAGCAGTGAATACAAACTGCATCTTGGTACCGAGCATAAAGCCAGTATCTTTATGCTGATAGCTTTACTCTTTAACATACTGCCGTACTCAAAATTCCTGTGATTTCCGTGTGATTTCCAAGAAAGATAGAACATCAAAAACAATAAAATTAGATTTGGTCTTAAGCCACTAAAGATGTTGGAGGGAAATTAAGTACTGCTTTTTCCTCCTCTGTCCAACAGAAGAGCCTGAAACGAGTCAGTTACTGTCCAACATACACCATAGCACTAGGACAGATAGGTAAACTGAGGGCACAGGTATCTGATCCTGTTTTTCCTTGCTTTTGCTGGCCTAACTCAAAGCTGTGCTACTTGGTGCAGTGTGCTGTATTTAATTTCTTTTGTGCTTTTAATAGCATAAAGCAAAGCTAAAAAGGTCTTGGCCCTATTGCTCCTAGGCAGCTCGATTTCAAACCAGGGCCAAGCGCTTACATGTACTTCAAGGTATGGAAGTGTGCCAAACCCCACCATTATACATTCTCAGAAAAATGCTGCAAAGATCTTGCACTTAATGCGTGGTAAATCTGGGCTGCAGAGATGCTCTTAAATAGGTTTGACATATCTGGAATAACTGTTTTCAGTTCATGGCATAAAACTGTTCAGCTCAGAGGTCACCACTCTGTAGTTAAGGTTATATCCGAGGCTGCTGGTCTGACCTGCCCAACTTGGAGGCTGCCACTCAGGTGGAGCAGGGCACAGCCGGCTCCAGTGCTCATTGTGCTGCCTGGATTTTAGGGCTGGCATAAGTGAGGCCGTTCCCAGGGGTACTGTGATTTATAGCAGCTTCCTTTAGCTGTTCCTGGCTGCCCTGCTGATCCACAATAGCAAAAATATGTACTCCCCGTCTTCTTTCCTCACTCCTCCTTGTTTCCATTCCAAAATTAATCATTGTTCATCTTCATGGGAAAGTTTTTGAAGTTCAACCCAGTATTAAGTGAATTTAGTAACACCCGTGCCAGTTTAGTTTATAGTTTGCAACCCATTTTACAACAAATCCTGTTTGGTGTAAAGTTGGTAGCAAATGAAAGCAAACACCAAAATTGGTGTATCCACTCAGAGCTTAATTCATGTGGTTTAAAAAGAGGTGACTTAAGATAATGCATCTTTCCCATGCATGTGGGAGAATTTAAGCATTTTATAGTCTGGTCTCTCAGTTGGTGTTAATCTCTTCTCTTTGTTAAATTAAAGATCAGACAGCTGAAAGCAAGTGGTTAAAAAAAAAAACAAAAACAAAAAAACAAAAAAAAAAAGGAGAGAGACCAGATGAAACACGTTCCTTAGGGCACTGGTCAGAGAGACAACTTTCCTCTTTTGTAGCTGTGGGGAAATGGGAATTCTTACCAAGGGAGAGCTGCTTGGATCGTCCCAAAGGCTCCCTGCTCTGTCTCATCTTCTAGCTAGTGAGTGCCTGACCTGATAGGTCGGTTGAGAAGATTTTCCTTAATAGGGATTACTGTCTTGATTACTATTTATTTTCAGGCCTTGTAGGCGAATATATACTAACGTGATTCCTTGAGCAATACTACAGAAGGTAGCAGTTGGTGATTTTGCTGTTTGAGGCCTCTCCTAGGCTTGCAAGTAGCTTGGTAATTCATGAGTAGTTCATTTAAAAATTACTCATTTTAAAATAACACTCCAAAGTGTGTGCACGGAGCACAACGGGAGCAAGACATGTAGTGGTTTTGTTTTAATACAGAATTCTTCTGCTTCCTAAGGACTGCGTTTGTCCGTTTCATTACTGCCACATCTTGGGCTAATTCTACGCTGCGAGTGTTGCCAACCCAACCCCACGGTCTGGAGTTTGACACAAAGAAAAACGCCTGCAAAAACCCTGGCGGACGAATGCTATTACTGGTTTAGTTATGGACCCATGAATCCAGATGTTTGTAACTGTCTCACTGTGGTTATTACCCCATCAGTGGGGAAGCATTGCAGTATGTATTTAAAGCAATATTGTGAAGGTATCCTTCAGACCAGCAATTTAAGCTCTTTCAATTGAGCTGTCTGAAACAATGAGGAGCAATGAACAATCGTGCTGGCAGTGCAGGCTCTTCCATGCGCAGACGTAGTGCTAGATTTGAGCTAACGCAGCCCTGTGTTAAGTGAG